TCAAAACCAGCAAGGACTTTTTGGGGTTACCTTGTGAATATAAAAGTGGACAATGAGGTCAACACAAAGCGGTGACGCTATTTAGTAACTGCCCCACGCAGTCACATGTGGCACAAGGCCGAATTTAATGTGGGGTTCCCGAACCCGGAGGCTCGGCCAAAAAATCCGCGCAGACCCCGCATAAACGGGATCGGGTCTGTCGAGCTCCCCGGACGAAACTCTGCCCTTCGGCATAGCCTCGTCCGCGTTCCTCTCTGCCCAAAAGCAGAGAGTTCGTCTAGCGCAGCTGGGAAAGATCCAAGCGCGACTCTGACACAAAGCGGTGACACTCTGACAATCTTCAGATCATTATTATTAAATATTATGACAACAGTTTTATAAATGAGGATCACATCATTCAATGGATTAACAGTATTTTAATGCATACATTATGTTCTACTAGCGAAGTGATTTCGCCATTAATCGCATTAATATTGCTGATTGATTCTATGTATGATTATTTCTTTATATATATATATATTTATTAAAGACATTTTTTTATGTTTAACGTTGTTATTTATAGAGACAAGTATTTAAGCAAATGCTCTGTTTATGATAAACAGTATTAAATAACATTTACTGGCCTGAATGTTATTTAATACTGTTTATCATAAACAGAGCATTTGCTTAAATACTTGTATCTATAAATAACAACGTTAAACATAAAAAAATGTCTTTAATAAATAAATTGTCGGACCTTGTCCATTTCTTAATATATATATATATATATATATATATATATATATGAGTTTAAAAGTCGCTCTGTCGGGCGGTATTTAAGCTAAGCTCCTGCAGAGTGCTCTTGATTGGGCCTTCGGCTTATTCAGGAGTTTGAGAGTCCCCAAGTCTTTGCATATTCTCAGCATTGGAAGATCTCCTGGCTGCAGTTTGATCCGGGGTTTCATTCGCACGGGTCTTTCTTTTCCTCGCTCCAACGTTGGCTCTTTTGATTGCATTCTGTTCCTCTGTTAGCAGAGATTTCTTTTTGTGAGCCATACTGCTGCCGTATGCAATAGGCAGCTATAAACTACAGAAGAACTCAAAACTGATCGCTGCATTTAAGTAATGCATTAATATTTAAGCTTACCTTTTAAAAGTTCAATGCTAATTCTTCTGCCACAATTTAATTTAAAGATAATTTGATGTACGTAAGTCCTTACTTTTCGTACAAGCAATTATTTTTTAATTCATAGGCGACTTTCACTGGATTTCGCAATTAATTTCGATTATTCCCAAATTTAGTTCCAAGTTATAAAAATTGCTATGGTACTCAAAAATTAATGGCAAAAAAATCATATAAAAAATCGCCGAAAAAAAATCTCTGTAATGAAAATTGGGAATCCAAAATTTCTGTAACATGAGCTATTGAAAGTTAGAGAGTTGTGTCCCTTTAATTGAAAAAGTGATACATTGACATTCGCATTTATTATATATATAAAAAAGAAAATAAAAAATGACATAGTGAACAAAATCACGTAGTGAAAAGGAAATGGCGTGAAAGAAATGGGAAAATACCAGGACCTCGCCAGAGAAGTGAGGAAATTGTGCGGCAGGAAAGTTATTGTTCTATCCATAATAGAGGTACACCCCTAATTTTCTGGATCCCTTGTTTCCAAAACCATACCGGATTATCCATTTTGCCGGACTAACAGAATTCACGTCATAACAATTACGTGAAGTGCATAACTACAGGCTAATTATGCAATTCTGGTGTCCCTAGAGCATCATCTGTTAGATTATATATTAAAATCTTATTAAATAAAACTTCACCTGTGGCTGTCCCGTGAATATACAGAGTGCGATGGATAAATTGTCGTCTAAATTACGCAAAAATGAGATTAACACTGACATCTCATTTTAACAGATATATTTACCAAAATTCGATAAAAATATCTTGAAATATTGAATTGAGTAAATTTATTCAATAAATTCATAGATTTTCCTAATATATATATATATATATATATATATATATATATATATATATAGATATAGATAGATAAACCTAGTGAGCCAGACAAACCTAGGTAGGTTTGTCTGGCTCACTAGGTTTATCTAGGTCTGCTCTACGGTTGTATTGAGCTCTTTTGTTAGTTAGTTGTTTACTCGTATCGGGGTTTTTTCTTTGGGCTTCAAACCTGTATCTGTGCGATTTTTTTCGACAGTCTTTCATGTTTCTAGCTCTTTCTTTTTTTAAAACCTTTTCTTTTTTTAAAACCTCGAGATTGATTTGATTATTGGCAAATCAAAAATTCGAGGGTTTTTCGAATCGAGTATAGTTATCTATATTTGTATATATATATATATATATATATACTTGAGAATTTTTTTGTTGTTGTAGGAGTTTATCAGTTAATGCGGCATGAACTAAATTGTTCAATAAATAGAGTAATGTCTCATGTTGTTATCTTGAAAAATTTCACGTCGGATCAGTTCTTTTAAATCGAATACGTGGTGCAGTTCAATTTATATTACAATGAATCACCCATACAAAAAGTAGATTAGTAAAGTTAATGATATAAAATGGCGAAATCCCTTCGCTAACAAAATTTTAAAGGTGCATTGACTTACAAATGTTATGATTCTACAAAAAATATTCTCAAATTGCTATATTAGTAAAAAACTCACTCTCTTATATATATATATATATATATATATATATATATATATATATGGGTCATCCTTACACTGCGATATGTTGACAACACTAGTAATAACCCTTCACGTCTAATAAATCAATGCTGTTGTCGTTTTAATTGACACGTTGTTAAGTTATTTAGTTTACTTCTTGGGTCAGCCAAATTGCTCTGGCGACAGATTTGGTTTTTAACTCCATGTGATGAGGTCACTTAGTACGATTTATTTAGTACAAATCATTGTTTGACGAGAGATTAGGCTGGGCGCAATTCAATTTTTTAATGCAACAAGCATTGACTTAGTCGTGGTGAATTTCAGTCATTAATGCAACCGTCAATGACATATGCTCGGCGCAATTCGATCGTTAATGCGGCGGGAATTGACATAGACTTGCCTCAATCCAGTCGTTATTGCAATAGGTATTGACTTAGTCGTAGTGAAATTTAATAGTTAATTCAACCGTCATTGACATATGCTCGGCGCAATTCAATCGTTAATGCAAGGGGAATTGACATAGGATTGTCTCAATCGTTAATTCACGAGCATTGATTTAGATTCGGCGTAGTTCAATCGTTAATGCAAAGGGCATTGACATAAGCTTGGCTCAATCGTTAATTCACGGGCATTGATTTAGATTCGGCGTAGTTCAATCGTTGATGCAACGGGCATTGGTACAGTCTTGCTGCAAATCAATCGTTGTTAAAAAGACATTAACTTAGGCTTAGTGCAATTCAATTTTTAATGCAATGGGCATTGATTTAGGCTTAACTCAATTCAGTTGTTAATGGAACGGGCATTGATATAACCATAGCTCAATTCAGCCGTTAATGTTACGGCCACCAATCTAGACTTGTCTGAATTCCGTCGTTGATGATACGAGTATTGAGTTAGGCTTGGCACAATTCAGTCGTTATTGCAACATGTATTAGGTTCAATTCAAACGTTAATGCAAGGACATTGATTTATGCTTTGCTCAATTCAGTTGTTAACGCAACGTGTATTGACTTAGGCTCGACTCCGTTCAATCGATAATGTAACGTTCATTGATGTAGTCTTGGTGCAATTCAGTATTTAATGCAACAGGCATTGATTTAGGCTTAACTCAATTCAATTGTTAATGCTACGGGCAGCGATTTAGGCTAGGCTCAATTCAATCGTTAATGTAACTGGTATACATTTAAGCTTGGTTCAATTCAGTTTTTAACGCAATCGGCAGTAATTTGGGCTTCAATCGTTAATTCAAAGGGCATTGATTTAGGCTTGGCTCAATTCATTTGTTAATGGAACGGGCATTCATTTAAGCTTGGCTCAATTCAGTCGTAAATGTAATGGTCACTTATTTAGGCTTGGCTCAATTCAGTTGTTAATGAAACGGGAATTGATTTAAGCTTGGCTCAATTCAATCGTTAATTTAACGGGTATACATTTAAGCTTGGCTCAATTCAATTTTTAACGCAACCAGCAGTGATTTAGACTTGGCCCAATTCAGTCGTTACTGCAACTGGCATTGATTTAGGCTTGATTCAATTCATTTGTTAATGGAACGGGCATTCATTCAAGCTTGGCTCAATTCAGTCGTAAATGTAACGGTTAGTCATTTAGACTTGGCTCAATTCATTCTTATTTTTTTAGACTCTTTTTCCTCTCGTTTTTGTTGAATGACGTCTGCTGTTTAGCTTCCCTAGCCTTTTGGAGTTAGCAAATCTATGTTGGGCGACCTTGGTATTATCTAGCCGTCTATAGCAGATAAAAACCCAAACATTAATAATAATAATCATGATTTTGATATGGCAGTCGCCGCAGACATTAACTTAAAAACTTAAAAAATATCGAATACAACAAGGACCTTGAAGTCGAAATATAAAATGTTGTAAATGAAGACATCAATAATTCCAGTTTTGGTTGGGGTACTTTTCTTCCTTTTTTTTTGATTGGAAAAGATTCTGATAGACTCACTGAAGAAAACCTTGGCGGTCTCTGTCTTAATGTCGTTTGAATTAGATAATTTCCTGACTTTTGGCAAATATTTTAAAACAGGGGTTAGTGATTTTTTGCTTTCATTTTGCAAAAAAGAAAAAAAGCATCCCTTTCGATTTTACCTAAGTATAAGGGATAATCTGAGTTATTTGGAGAGAGAACGAACGAACGACATAAGTAAATACAGAAAGAAAGAAAGAAAGAAAGAAAGAAAGAAAGAAAGAAAGAAAGAGCAGTAAAAAAAGTTCTGGATAAAAGAAAGCAAGCACGAAAGAAAGAAAAAAAGAACGAAAGAAAGAAAGGTGGGGAAAGAAAACAAGAGAATGCGAAAGAAATAAAGAAGGAAATCAATAAATTGGAGAAAGTAAGAAAAGATTAGGATAAAAGAAAGAAAGAAAAAGGTAGTAAAAAGGAGAGAGAGAGAGAATGCGAAAGAAATAAAGAAGCAAATAAATAAATAAATAAAGAAAGAAAGAAAGAAAGAAAGAAAACAATAGAATAAAAGAACGAAAGAATGAAATGTGGGAAACGAAAGAAAGAGAATACGAAAGAAATAAAGGAAGGAAATCAATAAATAATTGAAGAAAATAAGAAAACATTAGGATAAAAGAAAGAAAGAAATTGGTAGTAAAAAGGAGAGAAAGAGGATGCGAAAGAAATAAAGAAGAAGATAAATAAAGAAAGAAAGAAAAGTTTAGGATAAAAGAAAGAAAAAGCAGTAAAAAGAAAAGAAGGAAACCAAAAGGGGAAAAAAGGATGGAAGGACAGAGGATAGGAAAAAATCTGAAAGGAAAAAAAAATCCCTGATGTAGATTTATGAATAAAATAAATGAATAAAAAGGGTAGAAAATATTTTTCAAATAACTCACCATCATGTCCTGTTACATAATGTATCAATCGGCAGTTGTCTGTGTCGAAGATTCGGACATTGTTATCATCAGAACCTGTCACCATTATGTTAAAATCCGAGGAAAAAGCGACGCAGTTGACCTAAAAGAGAAATAATTATATTCGTAGCTCGACAGCAAATCACACAATGTAAGGCTTATATGCATGTAGTTATGATACTGGTTAGATGGGTTTAGGAGGATGGTTAATAAGCTTGTCTGAAAGTCCGATGCTATATCCTGACTCTGAAGAAAGAAAGAAAGAAATGATTAGAGGAAGAGGGATAAGAAAGAAAGAATGAAAGAAAGAAAGAATGAAAGAAAGAAAGAATGAAAGAAAGAAAGAAAGAAAAATCGAGAAGAAAATGAAAATGAAAAAGTAAGATAGAAACGGAAGAAAGAAAGAAAGAAAGAAAGAAAGAAAGAAAGAAAGAAAGAAAGAATGAGATGGAGAAGGGGAAAGAGAGAAAAGAGGGTTGAAAATGAAAACGTCGGATAGGAACGGATGAAAGAAAGAAATAGAGAGATGGAGAGGGTTAAAATGAAAAATTGGTTAGAAATGGAAGAAAGAAAGAAAAAAAAAGACCAAAGAAAGAAAAAGGAGAAGAAGGTTGAAAGTGAAAAAGTGGGATAGAAACGGATGAAAGAAAGAAAGAAAGAATGAGATGGAGAAGGGGAAAGAGAGAAAAGAGGGTTGAAAATGAAAACGTCGGATAGGAACGGAAGAAAGAAAGAAATAGAGAGAGAGAAAGTTAAAATGAAAAATGGGTTAGAAATTGAAGAAAGAAAGAAAGAAAGAAAGAAAGAAAGAAAGAAAGAAAGAAACAAACAAACAAACAAACAAACAAACAAACAAAGGGAAAGAGTTGAGAAGGAAAACGCGGGATTGAAACGGATAAAAGAAAGAAAGAAAGAAAGAAAGAAAGAAAGAAAGAAAGAAAGAAAGAAAGGTAAGGAGAGGGTTAAAGAAACTAGAAAAAAAAGAAGAAAAAATTAGAATAAAAAAAAAGAAAGAACCAATGGCCAGATCTGGAAGTTAAAAGTGAGGGAAAAAGTCACATAAAAAAAAAAAAAACAACTTTAAAAACTTTATAAAAATGTCAAAATTTAAAAAAAAACAATTTTAAAAAATATAAACGTTGATCCACATTCTCATGTGCGATTTTGAGCAGGCAACAGAATGGGGAATCAACTAACCAAGATTAAAATTTTGACCTAGTCTTTTTTTTTTTTTACAGTAAGGTTCACCCTGCACATATATATATCCCCACGTAGGGCATCTCGACGTGGTGTAATGGTTAGAAAGCTTACCTTGCAAGAAGTTCGCCGATGGATTTGCTACTATGTAAATGGCATGGCGGGTCCTAGCCGTGAAGATTAGATATGGCGGAATCAAGGAATGTAGTTCACCCGAGCACTTTCTATGGAAGTAGCAATAGAGCAGTGAGAGGCTCGTCGCATCCCGCCTGTGAGAGAGAGAGAGAGAGAGAGAGAGAGAGAGAGAGAGAGAGAGAAAGAGAGAGAGAGAGAGAGAGAGCTTGGAGGGTGGAAAATAAATCTTCTCCCACAAGGACTAGGAGACGCTGTGTCCCTTTATCATGGGCAAATCAGGAATCCATCTCCCCAATGACCCACCCTATGGGTTAAATATCAAGGTAGACTGGACTCTCCAACCAATCAGATTAGAAGAAAGGTAACACTGAATTCAAAACTATGGAGAAAATAACAGGAAATCCCTTTACTATTTCTTTTTAAAAAGGGGAATAATTTTCATATATTCAGCGTTATGGATAAAAATAGTGAATCTTTTATTTAAATTCACAAATATGGAGGCAAAAAGAAAGAAAGAAAGGTAAGGATAGGGTCAAAGAATGACGTCAAAATCTGCGAAAGTTTTCATCATTTTATTGAAGACGGTTTCACACGAACGCCATAGAGATATCGCTGAATATTATTCCTTCTGTTTATGATATTTGCACAAGGGTGTACATTACGTGTTTTAGACGCTTTCTCTTACTAAAAATTGTTTTATTTTTGTATATAAAAAGTTAGATAAAGAAAAAAAATCACTAGAGAGCAAGATAGATAGTATATTAATAACCAAACACAAATATCGAAAAGTTTGTTAATGTTAGATAAAGATAACAGGGACAAAAAATAAAAATAAGAATCGGGATTTATGCTTAAAATACTTGGAGATTATGAAGCTATTATTTAACATAGATTAAAATAATTTATGCTGTCTTTTTTTTGAAACTATCAATTAGAAAACAATTGAACGAGAGTAGAAAATGCAAAGTCAATAAATATAACTTTATTATGAAATCCTTCAGTTTAGTTACGGGGCATGCGTGATACACGCTTAGACGATCATGTATCTTTCGATACATGACTGACTAGACAGATTTTTTCCCGCAGTAGGTTGCCATTTCTTTCTGCGGTAAGACCAGTTGCCATCCAAGGTTATAGAACCAGGTCTGTCCTGCTATTTACCCATAGCTGGGGAGGAGGAGAAGAGGAGGATTCATATCTTTCCCAAGTGTATTAGCACGTAAGTGAATGTAATGGATTCGACTGAAATACAAACTCGGCTCTCCGATTCCTCAGTCCGAGCCGCTATTGACTTTCCTCTTTTGCACTTCTCGCCTGTGGAACTCTCTTGCTTTCCTGTCAACTAAGATCTTTTAAATGCAATGTCAATCGTCATTTATCTTCTTGGGTCCTGTTCATCACCCACGTCTACGAAAAAATTTTCAAACATATATAATGTACATATTTAAACTTTATATACATTACGTATTTTAGAAGCTCCCCCTCCAAAAAAATGTTTTTTTTTAATATATAAAAGGCTAGATAAAGAAAAAAAAATCACAAGAAAGAAAGATAAATAGTACATTAATAACCAAACACAAATCTTACTTATTATAAAACTCAGATTGTGTGTGTGTGTGTGTGTGTGTGTGTCTGTTCGTTTATATATTGGATCGGATTTCTTACATTTTTCAACTGATTTCAACAAAACTTCACAGGACTGCGTAAAATTACCTTGCGGTGGTTCTGACAGCGCCCAAAATTGGAAAAACACAATCAATCTGAAAACACGATAAAACACGATTCTGTCGCCAGAACAAAAGGGGGACAACTCATATCGAGTTCTACTTATTATAAAACCCAGGTTATTTGTGTGTGTGTGTGTGTGTGTGTGTGTGTGTGTGTGTGTTCGTGTGTTCGTTTATATATGGGATCGGATTTCCTACATTTTTCAACCGATTTCAACAAAACTTCACGTTTTTTTTTGGCAGGTAGTGTGTTTCTTATTGTCTTGCACACTTTTCTTTTATTTTACATTCAGAATGCTTTAAAAATTCCGTTTACAAGACAATTGTTTATAATAAAATTCTATTCAATCGGTAGACTCATAACGATTGAAAACAATGTTTTTGTTTGAGTTTGACCAATTCGCAAAAAAAAAACAAAAAACAAAAAAAAAAATCTAATTAAGACATGCGTGTCCGTCAACCTTAAACAATAATCTTTGTCAATTTTATTTTTCAGTCTTTATGATGGTCGATACTTGATCTATCTCTTACTGTTACATCTCCGGGCAACGCTGGGCTCTACTGCTAGTGTTAGATAAAGATAACAGAAAGAAAAAATTAAAATATAAATTGGGATTTAAGCCTAAGATATTCGGAGATTATGAAGCTATTATTTAACATAGATTAAAATAATTTATACTGCCTTATTTGACAGCACCAACACCTAAATTATGAATTGATAAAATAAACGAGGATAGAAAATGTAAAGTTGACAAATATAATTTTAGATAAGCAAAAATAGAAAGTAAAAAATAGGACAAACGATCTTCCGGTTAGTTGTAGAAAAACAAATAAATACAAATACAGAAAATCCAGGTAACTGTGGAAAAAGACTGAAAAGACTGAGTAGGTTAAAAATGACGCAACATAGTCTTCGCAGATCAATGATGTATTTAGGCGGATCATCAGACCCAACACATGTCGCATGACCGTGCCCAACATCATTAAGAAAAGAACCGCCAGCTTGCACGGTGCCACGTTGACAGCTGATGTCATTGACACATCCGAGCTCTACCGTCGGCACAAAGCAACTGAAACCGTGACTCATCTGACCACGTCACCCGTCGCCACTCTTCCAGGGCACAATTAACGATGTCGCGATTCCAGATAAGGCAGTGTCGTGTTGTTAACAGGAGCATCCTGATGGGTCTTCTGCTCCCATATCCAGTGGATGGTAAAGAACGCTAAACTGAGCTGTTACGTAAGCGTCTGGGACCTCTTGCATTGGGACGTGGACATGATTTGAGTCGCGTGTCTGATACTGCAGATAATTCTAGCAAGACGCCTCTGCTCACGATCTTTAAAGACATGTAGCCAGCCACTGCACTGTCCACACTGGACTGTAACGCCATCTATTCTTGTTACACACGTAAAACCTAGATTGAAGGATATCTAATATCCACAATTTCAGAGATGCAATGTCCTATCCGTCTGACATCCACTATTATGTTCCACACGAGTTCCGATAATTCGTGTCATGAACAGTAAAGCGCAAATGACTTTTGTCACGTCAGAGTATTTTAGGTATTTTATAATGTGTTTATTTTGACAGTTTTCAAATTTATGTATTTATTTTAATATTGGCGTTATTTTTAAACTGATATTAAATTTGTTATCATTGTCGAAGAAGAAGAGACGCGAGAAGTAAGAAAAAAAGCAACGAAAGAAATACGTGAAGAAACACGAGGTAAGAAGAGAAAGAAAAAAAAAGCAACGAAAGAAAGAAGAAAATCAACGAGAGAAGAAAAATCAGGAAGAATAGAAACAGAAAGACGAAAAAGAAAGAGAAAAGAAGAACGGAGAGATGGAAGAAGACACTAATAAAAGTAATAAGATAAAAAGAAAGGCTTGAAGCGAAAGACGAAACATAAGAAGAAAGAGAGAAATAAG